TTTACGTGAAAAGAAGAAAACACTTGCTGTAGCCTTCAACTCGACTTGTAGATATATCGACGACGTATTGTCAATTAATAATGATAATTTCCATTCCTAAGTCCACACGATATATCCTGGTGAGCTTGAGATAAAAGATACCACAGAGTCCGACACTTCTGCTTCATACTAGGATATTTTTCTTGAAAAAGACACTAATGGTTATCTAACAGCCAAGCTATATGATAAACGTGATGACTTTAACTTTTCTATCGTCAACTTCCCTTACTTATGCAGCAATATACCTTCATCACCTGCATAAGGAGTATTTATATCTCAGTTGATTCGATACGCAAGAGCATATTTGCTCTACGTATGAACAATTTCTTAACGTAGAACCTACGTCGTATGACATCATAACTAAGGAATGTGTTTAGCCTGTGCTAGATCCATTATGACGTCATAATTAACTCAATGTCATTTCCCGTACTTTTTGGCTTCAGTATAGAAATGGTAGAAAAAACTGCATTTTGAAATTCACAGAATTCAATTCAAAATCATGCCGAGATAATCTTCTATATATTCGATTTATATATATTTTTTAATATACATGTAATGCTGTAATGACAATATATTTCTTGAATTAGAGAAACCTGTAGGCACCTTTCATTTAATAGATCTTGGCCTTACTTAAGTTGACAAATCCAAGACTATATTGTGTGATGAAATTGCCATGTATACAACAAACTGTAATAATGTTAATGGTATGTAACTATTTTGAAGGAATGCAAAAATCTTTTTAAAATCGTCAGTTGTCAACTACCGGTAAATAGTGTAATATCTTGATGAAATGTGTCTCTAAGTCAAAGATGTACGTGTTGTAGATTGTGTGTACATTTTGTGTTATATACAGGTGACTCTCGATCTCTCGAAGTTCAAGGGACCGCAAGAAAAGTTCGAGAGATCGAAGGGTTCGAGAGATAGAAAGTAAATGAAATCCGGAATTTTCAGTTCCGATCGTCGAAGTTCTTCTTTTATAGATACCGGAAGTATATGTCAATAGAGTCATTGCACGTTTTCTATCGTATTTTACAGGTAATATTTACTTGATATCAACAACAATGATCGTACTTCGACTAAATAAAATTTCTAAAGTTTCAATGCTTATTTGTTCTTTTAATGATTACATGAAATCCGAATAGCAATTGTCTGTTTGACTATTCTGCGGCTTGATCGGATCCTTCACCTGTTCACCAATGTTCACAAGATTTTTCTTAATCGGTATTTGGTACTTCAGAAAGGAATTTCTTGTGTAATATTTGCCATACTAGGATTATGTCAACCCTAAAAAAAGTTCATAGCCTATGGGAACTTATCTATTAGACTATAAATTATTTTCTAAAAATTATCGTCTCGTTTTAAAGTCAAAATAAGTTGTAAATTTAAAAACAGTTTATAATTTACCAATAATAATCAATTAATTATATCAACACACGGACTACCCACAGGTGAAGTGTCATCTATGTAAACACCCAATTAACACCTCAATGCCAAGCCCCAGGCGTTCACTGTTTTCCAGGTAAGTTCTGGCTGCATCAATTTTACGCTTGATTGGCTTGTATACACACGCAATCAAAACTTCGAGAGATAGAGAGTAAAATTCAATGAAATATCTGTAACGGGACCCATGTTTTGGTTCGAGAGATAGAGAACTTCGAGAGATAGAAGTTCGAGAGATCAGGAGTAAATTTGCTTAGTTATATAGAGCAAAAAACGGGACCGGAGGTTCACTTCGAGAGATCGAGAACTTCGAGAGATCGGAGTTCGAGCCATCGAGAGTCACCTGTATAATGAAATGCTGTACATTCCTTTTCATAATCATTTGTTACTTATTCATATTCTTGGAGTTTTATTACAATTTCTCTATTTAATATGATCTTTTAAATTAAAAGTACAATTTTTTATAAACATTTTTAAGCTGAAAGTAGCCCTGAACAGTCATTTAATAATAAAATCTGTGTAAGTGCAAAAAGGTCAAGAATATTAGTATCGGTAAATAACTCTCTCATTCCTTTAAGGGGAAAGGTATATATTTTAATCACTTTTTGTAATCTTTTGGGAATGTTCTTTATTATATTAAAGATTGAAAACATTGTGACAAAGACTTCTGATATATATTTACAAATATAGGGTTAAAAATTGACTGAAAATAAAAAGAGTTCATTTGCCTATAGTTTTGAAAATGTGGACTTATCTTTTATGTCAATTGAATAAAAAAGTATTTATTCTCGGGAAATATTGTTTGATACTGTTCAATTAATAAACAATAAAAACAATGATGTTTAAAGAAATTTTGGGATTTTGTTGTCTTCTTTGCATGACAAGTGTAGTGTCCCGGAATTATTCTTTCCGGATTTGTTGGTTTTTACCTTACTTTTATTGTATACCGGAAATGATCTAAGGCATCAGTGCCAACCTCGTGGGTTCCAGACCCCAGCTTATTTTACTGCATTTAAAGCCACCTATGAAGTAAGTTTTGTGATTTTTCATTTACTATTATGTGTAGGCAATGCATAATATTCATTTTCTAGTCATTTGTAATTTTTTAACTGTCATATTGAGTCAAGGCGCACTTGGCGCGTTTTTTGCCTGTCTTTGTTTTGATCGTTAAATTTGATTGCAACAATCGATTGATTATTCCATTATTAATACATCTGTAAACATGCTAGGGATAAACTATGTTGATGTCTGTCTATTATGTTTTGGAAATTATTTCGTTAGAACAGCTACTCCTTGAAATCTGATAAAATTCAAAACTATGGAAACCCGCTCTAGTCATATTTTTATTATGTATGTTTTATATCGACATATTGCTTACCTTTTTGTATTATTTGTTTTTAGTTTTTCACCCTCTCCGGGGGTTTGGACGCAATAAACTCATTCAACATTGCACAGTGAAAAATTCATAGCCGAGCTAGTGATTAATTGAATGGAAAAATCAACGACAAACATCAGCCAGATAAGTCCACCTACAGCCATGTCTTCAGGGAGAAGGTTTTCCTCCATAGTTTCAGAGCTAGCCAGACACCGGGCCAAATTAGAAGCGGCGAAAGTGCGGAAAAAATATCTGCAACAAGAATTTGAGATGGAGAAACAAAAAGCTGTACTTGACCATGACCTTAAAATTCTACAGTGCAAGAGAGAGATGGAGGAGGCACAGATTGAAATGAACAGTCTAGATTACTTAGATGAAGTATCAGATGAGAATTTCACAGATAAAGATTACAAAACCTTCAGCAACTCGCTGAAATGAGAGTTGAAGAGTTTGTACAGCAGCAGTCAGAGCTAAAAACTGGATTCGAGAAAAAGGAACAAAGTGTCGTACCAAACAACATTACACTGTCTCCTATGGCGCCAGCATTTGTTCCAAAACAAGACTCAAGCAATGGACATATTAATGAAGTGTCTAAGTTCCTCGCGAAGAAAGATTTATTGTGGTGCCGACTCAAAAAATTTGACGACCGTCCAGAATACTTCACAGGATGGAAAACAAGTTTTAAAAATATTGTGAGTGAACTCAACTTATCATCCTTTGAAGAGTTAGAACTGTTGAATAAGTGGTTGGGACCTGAATCAGCGAGATATGCACAAAGCATAAGGACCGCCAGTGTGAATCCTGATGTTGCTTTAGCCCGACTATGGGAACGCATGGAGGACAGGTATGGTAGACCTGAGATGATCGAAGCGGCACTGAAAAACAAACTTTGGGCCTTTCCGAAACTGAGTATTAAGGACAACAAAAATTTATATGACCTCTTAGACATCGTGTCAGAAATAGAAGCAGCAAAGGAAATTCCACACCTGTCTTCGCTTTTCGCATACTTTGACTCGTCAAGTGGAGTGAACCCCATTGTGTCAAAGCTCCCTTACCAAATCCAAGAGAAGTGGACCAGGCATGCAAACAGCTTCAAAGAAAATCATTACATGACTTTTCCACCCTTCCATGTTTTCTGCAAATTTCTCCGTGACACTGCACGAATGAAAAATGACCCATCCTTTTACTATGACAATGTGACCGAGAACGCCAAAGTTGTTCAGGACGGAAGTCGACGAAAGCCTCAGTACCCTACAGGTGCTTCATCTATCGCCACAAGGAAAACTGACACAAACGCTTCAAGGCCCATGGACAAGACAGAACACACACAACTGTGCCCCTTACATGAGACTGGCCATTCATTGAACTCTTGTCGTGCCTTCCAGAAGAAAACCGTTCGAGAGAGAAGAGAGTTCCTTAGATCAAAGGGAATTTGTTTCAAATGCTGTGAAGAGAAACATCTAGCCAAAGACTGTCAGAAAACGATAAAGTGTAATATCTGCAAGGAGCCAGGACATGCCACCGCCCTGCATGTTGGAAAACGCGCAAGTGACACTGACAATGACAGCCAGGTGAAGACTGTATGTACACAAATTTGCGGAAACGTACATAAAACTAGCAAATCCTGTGCTAAGACTCTCTTGGTCAACATCCGCCATGGAAACAACCCGGACAAGGTGCTACGAACGTATGCGATAATTGATGAACAGAGCAATCGGTCATTGGCAAACAGTGATTTCTTCAACTTCTTTGGTGTGGAAGGTCCAGACATCCAATACGAACTTACCTCATGTTCCGGGCAGTCTACTCAATCTGGAAGGAGATCGGCGGGATTTGTTATCTCATCTTTGGACGGAAATTCTAGTCTTCGTCTTCCACCATTAATGGAATGCAACTATATCCCAAACAACCGGGATGAGATTCCGACACCGGAGGTCGCGAGATCTTACAGACACATGAGAGACATTGAGGAGGAAATAGCCCCTTTAGATCAGGACGCAGAGATAACATTGCTAGTTGGCAGAGATTTGTTGCCTGCTCACCACATTTTAGACCAAAGACTGGGAGACTCCGACTCTCCATTTGCTCAAAGATTGCACCTAGGGTGGGTAGTGATTGGTGAGGTATGTTACGGGGCCTCACATTCTCAGGAATCTTTGTCAGTGTGTAAGACTTAAACCAGGACCAATGGATGTATGTCTCTCATGGAAACCTGCGAAAATTCATTTCAATTGAAGGAAGCAGACATATTCGCTAAGACGAAGCATGACGACTCACCAGGCCTCTCCGTGGAGGATAAGAAATTCGTCGACATCATGGAGCAAGGTTTTGAAAGAGATTCTGAAGGATGTTGGAGTGCACCACTTCCATTTAGAGAAAACCGACCTCTTCTTCCGAGCAATAGAATTCACGCACTTAACAGGGCAAATCTACTCACCAGATCTCTTCAGAAAGACCCTGACAAAAAGCAGCATGTCGTAAAATTTATGAGCAAACTCCTGGATAAGGCCATGCTGAGATTGCGCCACCACTTTCTTCTCCAGAGGAGGAACATTGGTACTTGCCGCTTTTCGCAGTTTATCATCCAAAGAAAGGAAGTGTCAGATGCGTGTTTGATTCATCCGCACAGATTCAAGGACTCAGTCTCAACAGTGTTCTCTTGACCGGACCAGACTTGGTAAACAGCCTTCTTGGAATCCTGCTTAGGTTTCGCCAGTTCCAGGTAGCAGTGACAGCAGACGTAGAACAGATGTTTTACCGATTCTCAGTTCCAGCATGTCACAGAAACTATTTATGATTCTTTTGGCACAAAGACAATGATGTAGAGAAAGAACTTACAGAGTACAGAATGAAGAGACATGTCTTTGGGAATAGTGCATCCCCAGCAGCAGCTACCTTGGGACTGCGCAGAACTGTAAGAAATGCTGATGAGGTTGTTAGACAATTTGTGAGTAGAAACTTTTATGTCGACGATGGGCTCTTATCCGTAGATACAGTTGAGGAAGCAGTTAATACAGTCGCAAAAACACAGAAAATTCTCATGGAGGAAGGAAATATCAGGTTGCATAAATTGGCTTCCAATGATCCGAAGGTATGCGCGGCATTTCCAAACAATGACTTAGCCAAAGAACTCAAGGATCTGAACCTAGATTTAGATGAAACACCCCTTCAACGGACCCTTGGTGTGAGCTGGAATTTGTCTACAGACATGTTTACATTTCAAGTCTCGCGTACTCTTCATCCTTATACAAAAAGGGGAGTACTTGCTACTATCAACAGCCTTTATGATCCAATTGGATTCCTCGCACCTGTTATAGTCAAAGGAAAAATGATACTACGTGACTTGATGGCAGAGAAATTAGACTGGGACGACCCACTCCCCAAGGACCAGTACTCTCTATGGTGTGAGTGGCGAGAGTCATTGCCAGCGTTAGAGGACATAGCAATACCAAGGGCTTACGCTTACATCAATTGTGCAGAGGTCTTGCGAAGAGAACTACACATATTTGCCGATGCGTCACAAAAGGCAATTGGTGCAGTGGCCTACATGAAGACTTACCAGACAGACGGCACCCCTCATATAGGATTTGTCCAGGCAAAGGCAAAGGTGGCACCCGTACATGAACACAATTCCACGTCTGGAATTGTGTGCAGCTGTGTTGGCATCTCAACTGAAAAGCACAATTTTGAACAACCTAGATGTTGAAATAGCCGCCACAACCTTGTATTCAGATAGCAAGGTCGTACTTGGATACATCAACAACGAACGCAGACGATTCTACATATATGTGGGAAATAGAGTAGAAAGAATACGTCAGGCGACATCTTCGCATGAGTGGGAATATTGTCCTACAGATCAAAACCAAAAGACATTGCCACCAGGTCAATCAAACCCTGCGACCTTCAAGAGAGCAGATGGTTATGTGGACCAAATTTCCTTAGGAACATGAAAGAGGAAAAGTGTAATCCCAGTGAACCAGGAAATCCCACTGACAGATTCCCATTGGTGGATGTGGAACAAGATAAAGAAGTGAGGCCCATTGTGAAAACCTTGCATACCACATGCAAGGATGAAGTATACCACTCCTGGTGCAAGCGATTTAAGAATTTCTCCTCTTGGATCGGACTAGTCAGAGCTATTGCGCGACTTCAGCACCTTGCTCACTCCTTTAACAAGTCTAGTAGCTGTGTGGGATGTCACCATTGCTCAGTCCCGAAGAGTGCTGAAGCATACAAAAGAGCTGAAGAATTCATTATGAAGGCAGTTCAGAGAGAATACTTTCCGGAGGAAGTTGAGAGCCTTATGGAGGGGAGAGAAATTAAGAAGGGAAACGCTGTCTTGGGATTGTCACCGTTTTTTAGACTCCAGAGGACTTCTACGAGTTGGAGGAAGGTTGAGGCGTGGAACCAAATCACTTCGTCAGATTGAAACTTGTCCTATATTGATACCAAAAGGAAGTCATTTAGCCACATTGTTAGCTCTACATTGTCATGAACAGGTCTTTCATCAAGGTCGACGCCTCACAGGAGGGAAACTTCACAGCATGGGACTCTGGATTGTTGGAGCAAAGAGGTTAATCAACAGTCTTCTGGGAAATGTGTCATCTGCAAAAGATTGCGTGGTGCATTCTGCTCTCCTAAAATGGCCGAACTTCCTGAAGACCGTTTAAGTCCTGGACCCCCCTTTACCTACGTCGGAGTAGATGTATTCGGTCCTTGGAGCATAACCGCACGCAAAACCAGAGGAAGTCATGTAACGCAGAAAAGATGGGCTGTACTTTTCACGTGTTAAACCAGCAGGGCTGTCCACATTGAAATCTCAGAGGAACTCAGCACGTCAAGCTTTATCAACGCAATGAGGCGCTTTATCGCCATTCGAGGACCAGTAAAGATCTTCAGATCAGATCGTGGTACCAACTTTGTCGGTGGAGTCAAAGAGTTGGGCATGAAGAACATTGTGACAGAAGACACCTCCATCAAGAACTTCCTAGCAGAAAATGGCTGCGTTTGGGTCTTCAACCCACAACATGCCTCCCATTTCGGAGGCGTGTGGGAGCGAATGATCGGAATGGCGCGGAGGATCCTGGACGGTATCCTGCTCAGCAAAAAGCACATTAAAGATCTCACTCATGAGGTGCTTGTAACTCTCATGGCCGAAATCAGTGCGGTCATCAATTCGAGACCAATTGCGGCAATATCCACAGATCCTGATGACCCGTCCATATTAGCACCAGCCAGCCTTTTGACCCAAAAGATCGGAACACCACCAGATGACATTCCTAAGTTTGGGATCAAAGATATATACAAGTCACAGTGGCAGAGGGTCCAGGTGATGGCAGACGAGTTCTGGAAAAAGTGGCAGAAAGAGTACCTGACGGGACTTCAGACCAGGAGAAAGTGGGCGACAGACCAACCTAACCTAAAGACAGGTGACATTGTTTTGTTACGAGAGTACGATTCTGGACGCAACTCATGGCCGACTGCCATGGTCAAACAGACGTTCCCGGGAGCTGATGGAAGAGTGCGAGAAGTGGAGATCCGTTTGTTCAGAGGAGAAAAAGAGTTCACTTACGTCCGTCCCGTTCACGAAGTTGTGCCGTTGATTACTGACTGAATTAACACTTTTATATACGCAAACTGCTCTTGTGTGTTTCATTGTTTGTGTTTTGATGAATAAGAATAATTGTTGTCTCATCACCCTTTATGTAAGGTCTTATTAATTGTCAGTTTGTTTTGAATTATTTCATTAGGGTGATTTTTTGTAAAATCAGGAGGGGAGTGTAATGTCCCGGAATTATTCTTTCCGGATTTGTTGGTTTTTACCTTACTTTTATTGTATACCGGAAATGATCTAAGGCATCAGTGCCAACCTCGTGGGTTTCAGAACCCAGCTTATTTTACTGCATTTAAAGCCACCTATGAAGTAAGTTTTGTGATTTTTCATTTACTATTATGTGTAGGCAATGCATAATATTCATTTTCTAGTCATTTGTAATTTTTTAACTGTCATATTGAGTCAAGGCGCACTTGGCGCGTTTTTTGCCTGTCTTTGTTTTGATCGTTAAATTTGATTGCAACAATCGATTGATTATTCCATTATTAATACATCTGTAAACATGCTAGGGATAAACTATGTTGATGTCTGTCTATTATGTTTTGGAAATTATTTCGTTAGAACAGCTACTCCTTGAAATCTGATAAAATTCAAAACTATGGAAACCCGCTCTAGTCATATTTTTATTATGTATGTTTTATATCGACATATTGCTTACATTTTTGTATTATTTGTTTTTAGTTTTTCACCCTCTCCGGGGGTTTGGATGCAATAAACTCATTCAACATTGCACAACAAGTACCCCTAAAATGACTGAAATTGTGAAGTCGCAGTATGTATTTATCATTCCATGTTTAACTGGCTGCACTACATTTAATAACAAGGAAACATGTCATGTGCTTTTAACTGATTGATAAGCAAGTGCTAATTTATCATTATGAAAAGTTTGAAAATCTTGTGACAAAGACTTCTCCGACATAGGTTCTACCTTAAACGAGGTAAATTATTAACAAGCAAGTTGATGAAACAAGAATATCAACATCGTTTAAAGTCATCATTTCGTAAATTCTATGGTCGATACAATGACCTTGTCAGCAAATACAATTTATCATTGAATGAAATGCTGACTGACGTTTTTCATACCAATTGTTGGTACATTATTTATACACTGAATTGACCACGGATTTTTTTTCCGTTATTTCCTGATTATGACAACGAGCACACGGCGGGTGTGACCGGTCGGCAGGGGATGCTCACTCCTCCATGGCACCTGATCCCACCTCTGATGTTTCGGAGGTCCATGTTTGCTCTGCTCTTATTTTGTATATTTGTTTTATGGACGTTGAGATTGAATACTGTTCGTTATTTTCATATCCTTCTGTATGGCAATCGTAAAATTTATGTTATATTCTTTAGCGAAAATACACATTTTAGGTGTATGGAAGATGAGAGTAGTTTTTGAGGTGATAAGACAACTTATGCTGGTTGAATTTTGAAGTACTCATATAGTGTAATACTGTTATAACATCACAAGTGACATCAACCTGTATGTTTACAGCCAGTGTTTTGTCCAATTATTCCTTTAATGATTTCATTTTTATTTTCGTTTTGTACATAAATGCATGTACAATGTATATATTTTATAGTACAAAATTCAATTAATACTTATTGTTAAACCTTTAACAGAGCCTAAAGTAAGTTGAGCTGATGTTGTACTGTATGTCTGTTTGTATCGGTACATGTGAACTAAATTGATTTTTTTTCAAACCTTGGCCTCTCTTTTGCTATGTCCTTTGTATCTTGCATATGCTTAGATACATTCTTTTTTAGTTTTTATGAATGTCATTTTTAGCTCTACTGGTCAGAGACCAGAAGAGCTTATGCGATAGTAATGCGTCCGTCGTCCGTCCGTCTGTCTGTCTGTCTGTAAACAATTTTTCAAAATGCTACTCCTCCTACAGTTTTGGTCCGATTTCAATATAACTTGGCACACAAGTAGACTTCACTAATATACATAATTCTGTGCATCGGTTTTGGATTTCTATGAACGATGTTGCCATGGTAACTAAAAATAGACATTTCTATGAAATTCTTTCAAAATGCTACTCCTCCTACAGTTTTGGTTTGATTTCAATGTAACTTGGCACACAAGTAGACTACAATAACTTACATAATTCTGTGCATTGGTTTTGGATTTCGATATACGGTGTTGCCATGGCTACTAAAAATAGAACTTTCTGTGAAATTCTTTCAAAATGCTACTCCTCCTACAGCTTTTTTCCAATTTCAATATAACTGGGCACATAAGTAAACTGCACTAATATACATAATTCTGTGCATCGCTTTAAGATTTCGATAAATGATGTTGCCATTTTTACTAAAAATAAAAAGTTCTCTAAAATTCTTTCAAATTGCTTTTCCTCATACAGTTTTGGTTTGATTTCAATGTAACTTGGCACAGAAGTAGACTACACTATTTTACATAATTCTGTGCATTGGTTTTGGATTTCAATAAACGGTGTTGCCATGGTTACTAAAAAAAGAAATTTCTGTGACATTTTTCCAGAATGCTACTTCTCCTACAGTTTTAGTCTGATTTCATTATAACTTGGCACTCAAATAGAATACTCTAAGGTACATAATTCTTTGCATCGGTTTTTGATTTCGATGAACGATGTTGCCATGGTTACTAAAAATAGAAATTTCTGTGAAATTCTTTCAAAATGCTATTCCTCCTACAGTTTTGGTTTGATTTCAATGTAACTTGGCACAGAAGTAGACTACACTCAGTTACATAATTCTGTGCATTAGTTTTGGATTTCGATAAACGGTGTTGCCATTATTACTAAAAATAGACATTTCTGTGAAATTCTTTCAAAATGCTACATGTACTCCTCCTACAGTTTTGGTCTGATTTCAATATATCTTGGGACACAAATAGAATACTCTAAGGTACATAATTCTTTGCATCGGTTTTTGATTTCGATGAACGATGTTGCCATGGTTACTAAAAATAGAAATTTCTGTGAAATTCTTTCAAAATGCTATTCCTCCTACAGTTTTGGTTTGATTTCAATATAATTTGGCACAGAAGTAGACTACATTCAGTTACATAATTCTGTGCATTGGTTTTGGATTTCGATAAACGGTGT